ACAGGTGAAGCAGAAGGGATTGATGAGGACCTGGGATATATTACTAGTGGGAGTGAAGAGATATAAATTCAACTCCTGCCTGCCTCTTTGGTCATGTTTCCTGTGCCCTGTACTTTATGTTGACAGGCTGGCATCACTCACTGCCACCAATTTCATTTGGGCTTCCCGCTTGGACCGTGCCCTGATTAGGCACCAAAATTCGATGTCTAATCAGGGCTAACAAGTGTTGGTGTCAGGGACGGCTCGAGGAAGGCAGAGGTAGTGGCGTAATGCTCGGCGCTAGCGGCCCAGGTGGCGGCAGGGCAGTGAGACCGTATAGTGGATAGCCCTTACTCGGGCTTACGTCCCTGTGTGGCTTCTTAGGCTGAAGCAGGAAATGTATTGTTATTAGGGTGGGAAGCCAGACTAAACTAGGGTACTTGCCTGAAGTGGGAAATGAGAAGAAGGTTACTTCTTCGGTCCTGCTTCGGTGTTATAGGAATGGACCTAGAATCTTATGGTCCGTGACTATGAACAATCAAACCTTTGGTCCCTGCACCTTTATTTCACTGTCAAACCCCATGCCAAGCTTTCCCACTGGGTTTTGGTGCTGGCTGGGGAATTTGTTGAGTTTCAAGGGACTTCCCTTGACCATTGTGACTTTTATATTAGATAGTTAGAAGTCATATGATGTGTAAGGCAGATGCCGAAAAATGCTTTCCAATTATCAAATACATAACCCAAAAACCTTGTACCGCGATTGTAACATCCTCACCATTGTGCCACCACTGTAAACTCAACCTGTAACCCTGGAACCATGTCCACCTCCCTATTCCTCCTCTCCATGACAAAACCGCAGCGAGGAGGGCATTCCCACGCCCAACCTCCTGCTGCCCGCTCCCACCAGTCCACCGGGTGGTTGAGTGGTCACTCCCATCCAACCAGAAGTTCCCTATCAGGAACTGTAGCCTATCCCACCTCCTTAGGAGAGGGATATAGTCCAGGCAGCTCCAGAATGTCTGGCCCCGCACCCACGGGTCCCACTTCCCACGGTCACTCACTACCGTGCACTGGTCCACCAGCCCACTTTCCCCAACAACCCCCGCTACCGGTACGCTCCCATGAGTGCCAAGTCACCGATAGCCACCAACTGGGTGACTCCCTTTGGGAGTCCCAGTATCCCATGCTACCGGTACGCTCCATTGAGCGCCAAGTCACCGCTAGCCAACTGCTCCCAGCACACCCGCTACCGGCACGCTCCCAGGAGCGCCAAGTCCCCGTTAGCAGACAGCCAGGTGGCTCCCTCAAGGAGCCCATGTCATACTCGCTACCGGTACGCTCCCAGGAGCGCCAAGTTACCGTTGGCCAACCCACAGGTTACACTGCCAGACACTCATCCCATTCCGCTCTCCCTCCGATGGCTACGCAGCCACCTCCATTAGTGAGCCGAACGGCTCAGGTTGGGTTCCCCGGAACCCATTCCTGTAACATTCGGCTTAGTTTATATACATGTGTGAATGGGTCACGTGGGGTTGCCACGTCACCCTCGGACGAAGCCAGGTTACCGCGGGTGGTTCCGCGGTCGATCCTGAGTGTTGGAGGGGAAGTACAAGTAGAAGTGCGCAGCGCATCTGGCGTTGCGGTGCCCCTACGGGGTGCTCAGCGTCGGATGCATCCATGCTACAAGGGTAGGAAAGAAAGAGAGGTCGTCTGTATAAAGATAGAGAAAGAGAAGAAGGAAAGAAGAGAGAATGAGGGAATGAGACAAAAGGAAAAGGAGGTGGCGGCGGCGGCGGCGGTGGCGGCAGCGTGCCCTGACAGTTGGCAATGGCCACAAAGGGCCCAGGTGAAATTACCTGCATGCGCGCGACCCGCAACCCATGCTCGTACATACAAAGACGAAAACGAAAACAGACGAAGCTTAATGGGAGTGACGATAAGAGCCAAGTCGGAAGTAGTGAAACATAAAAAACAAAATACAACACAGAGCTAATGTACAAACACAATGTAAAACGATGTACAAGAAAAAGAGGGGATAGTGTACCAAAAGGAGGAGTGTCAGGGAGGAGGTGGGAGACAAGGAAAGGCCGAATGCTGAGGCAAACGAGAGTGAAGTCACACTGCAGAAAGGTGTTGGCAGTAGCAAGTTCAGGGAGGTCTCGTGAAATGGAGACATTAAACAACAATTAAATTGCAGTTTAATTTCACAGGACTGATCCAGAAGGGGCACATGCAACTGTGTAAGGAGTATTCAATGGTAGTGTCTGCCCAGAACGTGTAGCGTGTGTAGAGCCTAGTTCCCAGACTGTTGTGGTGCCAAAGGCTAAAGAGCCTACTAGTACCCTCCATGCTACTTTATATACTTATGTACAAGTTTATGCCAGAATTGGCAAATACATGTGGCTTGGCAGTCACATGTTTAAAATAATTTTGTTTTCTGTTCAGGGCCAAAACTCACCACAACTCTTCAACCACCAAGTTTCTCCATTCTCTTCACTCAAACCCACCAGAAATGCCAGGAGCCACAGTGGTTGATGTCATCCTTAGGTTGTGGCACGATAGCCCAAAAGGGGCTATTGGGAAGTCCCCTATCATGTGTGATATATGGGTGGAATGCCAAGGACTCACCATGGACTTGAAGAAGCTCCATGCTTCTCCAACAATCAGACATGGCTACAGGAGGTTCAGAGTGAACCCTGCTGGGATGTACCTTGCTTCCTCCACCCTCTCCCATGGACAGGTCAGGGTTGCAAGGTGTGTTTGCTGGCGAAGGTTGAGCCATGGGACCATGCTGAAACTTTTTGCAAGGAGCCTCTCCTTTGTCACATCTGCCCACCACTCCTGAGGGACATTTGAGGGGGTCCACTGGGAGGTTCTGTCACCATGGGTGACCATTGGAATCAACTGCCAGAGACAGATTTCTGCAGCAGCTGCAAAGAACTATCAGCAAAGGGGTGAGCAGAAGATATATTAGAATCACTTGCATTGTGCATTCCTTGGTTGTGCCAATGCTTGAAGGCTATCCCCCTGTGTTCTGCATGGAACCAAGGTATCCTGTGGAGGATCCTGAAGATCTGCCTGAGGGGATCAGACTTGAGGCAAGGCTTGATGGCAGAGAGCTGCCACACCCCCGAGTCACATGTACCATGATGTAGTTATAGTCATGTGACCCAGAAGCATCTTCCGTACTGTTCTACACCACCATGAATAATATACCATTGTAACACTTATGGCCAGGTGTGCTGAGTGACCCCAACTGACCTCACACCCTTTGAAGGAGGCATGCTTCAATGCATCATAGTTGGCCTGCGTCATATCCATCCATGGCCATCGTCTTCCACTACCTCCAATCTTTCCAGATTACCTCTGCTCCACCGCCACTAACCTTGGAGCCTCAGTTTCCACAATCACCTCCAACCCCCCCGATGGTCACCACCTCTCCAATTCAATATATTACCTATGCCTCCCTAAGTATGGAGCCCCAAAGCTCTCTGGACAGCTCTGATGTCTGCTAGTGCATTCCCGCCTCTGCTGGGCAATTCACTTGCTTGCCCTGCAAGTCTACCTTCAGGCCTATCCCTCCTTTCCACTTGTGGGTTATAACCCATCATTCTGCTAAACCCGCAACCCAACTCGTCGGTAATATTCAGTTGGCTAACATCTATCCCCGTTAGCTCTGCTCTGCTTGGTCCCGCTATTCACAGGCCCACCCTCGCTGTAACTATATATACATAACTTGTAGATAGGTTATACCCTAGTGATAAAATCAACTAGAGTTGATCCCCCTTTTTAGTTCTTGTTGCCAGTAAGTAAATTAGGGCATGGATGTGTAACTTGGCACAGTGCTCCTGGTCTGAGTCACTGAAGCCAAAGCCCTCTGCCACAGAGACAACTCCTTCGTCTTGCTCTGGTCTCTAACAGCCTGGGACATGATTGGGGGGATGGTGTCAGAGGCAGAAGCCACCAAGGGTCAAGGGTTTGATTCAATGGTGTTTCTCAAAGGAGGTATGAAGAGCCAAGGCCCAAGGAAGGAGGGAGGATGGGAGTGGGGAATGGTAAATAAATGAAATTAGCTAACCAATACAATGGACATAAGCAGAGGTGGGGTCAAAGTCCGTTAGAGCGACCAGAATTCTGAAGATGGAGATGTGAATGGGATTCTGGAGCAGAGGTCCAGAGTCAGGAGCATAGCTGTCACATACTTGTCTGGAAGGTGTTGAGGTTGGGGTTGGACATGGAATGGTCTGGAGTTGGACTGAAGGTGGTGTTGGAGCTGGAGGTGAGATAGCCAGCCACTTGGGAGTTGGCAAGGGAGAGGGTGATGAAAGGGAAGTGGGGTTCTGGAGTTGGTTTCAGAGTTCCAGGAGCCCTGAGCAGAGGTTGGGATTGTACAGATATGACAAAAATTCAAAAATTTTCACTTTCTCTTTCATCTCATTTCTTGCTCAAAATTCAACCAATTTTGATGATTCTATGTGAATTGGAAAGCACTGAAGTGTGGCAATGTAACCATGCATGTTATGTAGGGTATAAATCAGTTTGTGTTCCAAATGAAGTGAATTAAAAATACAGCCCAATAAAGCAAACAAAAAGCTGATGTATGTATCCTTCAGATATTATCCATACATCCATACCAAGCCTTTGACACCAAATTTCCAATGGTCAAAAAGCCATGGTTATTCAGCTCACCAAGCATGGTGGGAGACTTTTTTAACACTGAAACATACATTGCTTACATTGCCCCACTTTGGCACTTTCCAATGCACATTGAATTATCAAAAAAAGTGATTTAAATTTAAATTTTTCCAATTATTCTTAATGTCCTGAAATATCTCTCCCTAACTTATCCCAAATTCTCTGATTTTTTGAACATTCTCCTTTTTTAGAAAGTCCCCCATTTTCTGAATTTTCCTTAATTTTCCCTGACCTGTTTTTCAAATTTTTAGAAACCCCCTAGTTCCCCTTCATTTTCTCCTCATTTCCCCTTCATTCCCCCCCCTCTGGATACAACCATCACATCACTAGACAGAGGGGTAGGTATGGTAAAATTGGTCAAGTGCAGCATCCCCCTCCACTATGGCCTGTCCTACATTTAGTTTGATGCTACATTGATGGATGCAATGACACTTACTTCATGTTCTGATGTGAATGAAGTGACAGCCTCACTGCCTAGTTGAGCAGGACCATCATGGCTCCAGATGTCTATGTCTGATGGAAGACTTGTCAGGATGCATTTGAGGAAGGTGGGCAATATCTCTGTGATGTTTATGCCATCATGAAGAAGGGTGGGTTGGGAGAAGATGAGCAGTCTGATGTGGTCATGAGGGATCAACTGTCAGGGCTCAGCCCTCAACCCCACACACCCTCAGACACCCCCTCCCCCCTCCTAGCCACCCTTCCCCCATTTCCCCCCATTTTCCCCTTCACTGTTCTACAATAGTACATGTATGTGAACCTGTGGGAAAGTTCTGGGCAAGCAGCTTGCCCAGAATCTTCCCACAGTACCCAATATGGAAACCCAGCAAAGAGGTGACAAAGTTCTCAGGCCCCTTTGTAGCAGCCTCACAGGGGGTTGAGAAGGTTATCCTTCTTCTCAATGCATTTCCTGTGAAGGCAAGTTGTAATTACCCATGTCCCAATGGATGGACCCTGACATCAACAGGGACATGGTGTCATTGCTGAGGTATCTAAATTTTGAAGCTCCTCACAAAGTTAGCTTTCTGGAAATTAAAATGAAGACCCAAACATACTTGGAAAATTGTGGCAGAACTTCTGGACATGTAAACTCAAACAGAGCAAAGAATGCCCCAACAATCAGGGTGTGATGGACTATTATATACTCTATTGGCCAACCAATAACTTTCCATAGCCACTTGTAGTTCTTCCAATGTATCCATATTGAGCTGCTGGAGTCTTCCATAGGTACAGTCTTGAAATTCCCAATAGAATGTGGGTTATTTTTCCATGGAATTGTCAGATGCATTGTTGCATGATATAGATGTTCCTAGAGTACTCACCAAGAATTCCACAAATGGAACTCCATTGACTTGACCACATGATACTTGGAGCAAATTGCAGCTTCCAAGAGAATTCTTCCAAAGACCAATTCCATTACCTCTTCAAGATCTTTGATCATAGGCATGACTTCATAAAACTTCCTGATCTGCACAGATTCACTTGGAGATCCACTTCATCTTGGACTAAATTGAGGCAGTATATTTTACCCCTTTTGGATATCCCTGATTGTAATTGCTCCACATCTTTTCATTGAGCAATGCAGAGAAAATGCTGGGGATACTCCTACCCTACTACCTGAGTATGCAGGGTAAATGTCATATCCATACAATCCCAACTTCCACTCTGGGCTCCCAGAACTCTGAAACTGACTCTGGAGCCCCACTTCCCTTGCACCACTCTCACCCTTGCCAACTCCCAAGAGGTTATCCCACCTCCAGCTCCAACACCACCTTTGGTCTGACTCCAGACCATTCTGGGTCTGACCTCAACCATGACACCTTCCAGACAAGTACATGACATCTACACTCCCACTCTGGAATCCCATTCATGTCTCCATCTTTGGAATTCCAGTCTTAGCTCTGACCTCAGACTTTGACCCCACCTCCATTGTATTGGTTAGCTAATTTCATTTATTTACCTTTGCCAATATTCTGGAGTTTGACTTCCAAGTTCAGACTTTCCAGACTTATTTCAGACCTTGCAGTTCTTACTGTATTGTCCCATTCAATTCCACTATTCTCCCTCATTTCTATTTGGGCTGCTGCATCTTTCTATTCAGTCAGCTAGCCATTCCCAACTCCCAACCTCCCTCCTTCCTCCTTGGGCCTTGGCCCTTCATACCTTGGGAAACACCATTGAGTCAAACCCTTGACCCTTGGTGTTGTTCCCCCTTCTGGCTCCCTTTGTCTCCTTTCAGCTTACCCTTGCTCCTTTTGACTCCAGACCCTTCCAATATATACAATGTACTTAGTAACTTGTAACCTCAGTCAGTAATTGACTTGAGATTCCCCTTGAGACTCCCCTGTTGCTAGATCCAAAATTAGGGACCCCCAGGACAACCAGCAATGATACAGCACTCCACCTGAGTCACTGAGGCCAAGGTCCTTCCTATTGAGTCTCTGGTTCCATTTCCGGAACCATCTGAGACTGTCCTCTAACAGTAAATTCAAAAACAGGCTTGGCATTTTTGTGATTGAGAATGGGTGATGCCAGTTTTAAATTGGGAAGCAGGAATTCAAGTTTATTTGGAATGGGAGTGGAAATGGACTGGTTTCAATAATTCCATTACCAATTCCACTATCCATGGGCTGATCACTTGAAGTATGGGCAGGTCCAAGCAGGAATCACCAGGGCTTCCATAGGCTAGGTTGAATACTTCCTTCCCATGTGTCATATCCATACATACCCAATCCCAATTTGACTTCCAGAACCTCCTCTCAACCACCTCTGGAGTCCTACCCTATCCCCATCCACTCCAATCTCCACCTTCAGACTGAACACCACCTTCCTCTCCTTCCAACCCTCTCCCACCAACCTCCACCTAGGTACAACCTCCCACTGCTGTCCTGTACCCTGTACTTGGACACTGCTCATATCTCCACTCCGAGATCCCATCATGCTCCTGACCTTGGACTTTGTCTCCACCTCAGCTTAAGTCCACTGCATTGGTGACCTCAGTTCACGTAAACACCATTGCCAATATTCCTTGGACTTTCAACCCCACCTCTGTAAGCTCTGTTACATCCAAGCCTCACGGATCTTGAGTCACTGAGGCCAAGGTCCCTCCTTGCTAAGTCTCTGGTTCCACTCCAGAATTGTCTGCACTTGCACCATTCTAACACCATGCATTAGAATTTCTGATTTAATTCCATCACATTTCTGGAATCCTTGCTCCAAAAGGAAATCCAATTCTGAATCCATCTCCCATTGAATTGAACTCATAGGGGAGTTGGATCCAAAAGTACATTATTAGGTATAAATTGCAAGTGCCTCACGGCATTCTTGTTACTTTTAGAAAGCCCACACCAGCTTGATTGTAAGGGGTTGGTGTAGGTGCCAACCCTGGTTAGCCTAGTTCTTCAGGCTGTCAGCAAAACTAACTTGTATTTGCAACAGTTGTGGGAGTAAAAGGCTAAGTTGCTCTTTCCACTTTTCCACACTATTGTATGTACATTGTATATATATGTTTATTAGAAGACAATTATACAATAGGAATTGGGAAATAAGGGGTGGGGTTACCACTCCTTACATTGATAAATCCATTAGCAATAGTACTATATTGAACATGGCCAGTATTGAGACAAAAGAAAGAAAATGTGTTGGCAGTCATGTCACAGGGGATCAATCCTTCAGGATATATGTATATCATTGTATCATCCATAAGGCACTGATGCAGGACTGCAAATGGGGTCAACTATCAGCACCACTGAGTGACAAATTATGGAGAAGACTGACAGGGGCTAGATAGGTGGTGGGGAAGGGGATGATGGAAGAGTGGTAGCAGACAGGCACTTTTGTGGGGCTGTGACAAGACCCCCCTCATATTCTCCTGAAATGGCCACAGTGTCAAAGCCAGACCAGCATGAATTGGTGTCCTTGTGGTAATTGTCATATCCATTCCCGGCCATCGACTTCTGGTCCCTCCGATCCCTCCGTTCCAACTCCGCTCCTCCCTCACTAACCTCGGAGCCCCCGTTATTCCGCAATCCTCTCGGTACCCCTCGATGGTCACCACCCCCTCATTTCAATTTATTACCTACACCTCCCTAAGTACGGAGCCCCGAAGACTTCCGGACAGCTCTGACGTCCGCTAGCGCACCCCTGCCTCCGCTGGGCAATACACTCGCCTGCCCTGCAGAGTCCACCTTCGGGCTTATCCCTCCTTTCCATTTCTGGGTTATCGCCTGCCTTTCCGCTAACCCCACGAACTGACTCGTCGGTAATATTCAGTCGGCTAATGGTTAAACCCCGTTAGCTCCGCTCTGTTTGGCTCCGCCAATTGCGGAACCGTCTCCGCTGTAACCATATATATATCCCACTTGTACATAGGTTACGCCCCAGTAGAAAAATCAACTAGAGTTACCCCCCTAGGTTCTAATTGCCAGTCAGTAAGTTAGGGCACGGACGTGTCACTAGGCACAGCGCTCTTGGCAGAAGTCGCTGAGGCCGAAGCCCTCCGCTACGGAGACATTCCTTCATCTCGAATCTGTTCTCTGACAGTAATCCTCATCCAAGTTGAAAATTACTGCATGACTGAAAAAGTGTGACTTGACCACCTGCAGGTGCTCCTCTTTGTCACAAAACTGCCTCACATAGTTCCACACTTCCTGCCCATTCTTTGCTAGCTCAGGAGCAAGGCATTCCATGTAAATATTGGTGGTGTGGTAAACAGGTTCACATTCCTGATGGAATTCCCTGTCCATCTTCTTGCAAACCTAGGGAAACCGTGCTGAAATCCCATGAGATAACAAGCAGAATGTCAGATATTCAGACTCACATAGCCACCAACACCTTGCCAATATGCAAAGTGGGCCTGACTGCTTTTAGAAAGTGACTTGTTCTTGAAGTGGGGCCTGAAATCAGACTTGTTGAATTTAAACTCCTTATTAAACTTCTTGCTAGCCTTGGCAGTGGCATTCTGTATCAAGGTTGTAATAAAATCATAAGAAAATGATGGTAATCAACTGACATGGACTTAGTTGAGGGCATGGGGCAGTCTGATTGCCAGTGTTAGAATGGTGTGGGTTTGGATGATTCTGGAATGGAATTGGAGACTTATCAAGGAGGGACCTTGGCCTCAGTGACTCAGGTGGAGTGCTGTGCCATTGCTATTTGTCCTGTTGGTCCTTAATTTCAGACATAGCTGGAGTGAAGTCTCAAGGGGGAGTATCAAGTTGATTTTAGACTGAGGTACAATGAGTATGTACAGAGTCTATATATAAAGGGAGACAGGAGTACAAAGAACAAAGGGGGTCCAAAATGGAACAAAGGTGTCCAAACAGAGACAAAGGGAGTTTGGAACAGGAATCGCACTGAGGGTCAAGGGTTAGACTCTATGGTGTGTCTCGAAGGAGGTAGGGGGGTGAGGGCCCAGAGGGGCAGGAGGAGGTGAGGAAATGGGGTGGATGACCATGTAACTGGCTAAATGGAAAGAAGCAGTAGTCCAAATAAGGGTGAGGGAGAAGGGCAAAGTATACAGTAAAAATAGCAAGGGGGCCTAGGTAGGTCTGTGAAGCTTGGAGGTAGTGGAGCTTACAGAGGCAGGGTTGAAAGTCTGAGGAATATTGGCAATGGCATTTATGTGAAATGATGTCACCAATGCAATGGACTTAAGCTGGGATGGTGTCAAAGTCTGAGGTCAGGGACCAAGATGGGATCTTGGAGTGGAGGTACGATTGGTGTCCAAGGTCAGGGTATGGGATGGAGCAGGGGGTTGTACCTTAGTGGAGATTTGGCAGGGAAGAGTCAGGGGGAATGGATGGTCAGGTCAGGTCCAAAGGTGGGGATCAGAATGGATGGGAATAGGGTAAGACCCCAGAGGTGGTGGAAAGGGTCTGGGAGTCGAATTGGGATCAAGTATGTACAGATATGACAATAGTGATAATTCTGTATTTTCATTATTAGCAAAGTAAATAGATAAATTAGCAATTAAATGATTAAATAAAATTGTGGCAATGTGGGACAACACAGAAAAATAAAAGCAATAAGAAATCCCAAAAATTTGTAAAGTACGAAGAAAACAAACTTGTACCTATGAGTGCCAATAATATGGAGAATTTTTCATCACAAAGTGAGTACACAAGTAAGTATGAAATCGGTGTGTTCACCCCCCTATGAGACATGTGACATGGTGTGACATTGTGTTCAAGCACTCATGCTGGACACATGTTGCCCACTTCCACTGATTGTCCTGCATCCCTTGATGCCTCCAGTGATGTGAAGGGCTTGTTTTGTTGAAGCTGTGGATGCTTTTTGTTTGAGTGTGGCCAATGTGCAGCTCTGTTGCCTCAGCTGCAAGATGCTTGAAGGCTCTATGAGCTCTATGATCTCAGCAGGCTCATAGACCTCATAGACCTTTTGTGTTTACTGATGTATCCATGGAATATGCTGAGATACAGCACCTTC